ATCAGAGTATTGTATTAATCGCATGAAAGTTGAATTATTGGTTTTCATGTAAACGTAGTCACTGAATAAAGCACATAAGGTGTTCCTGAGGTGATCAATGTCATTTATTCTGTTCTTCAGCTGTGAGAAACAGAAGCCGCTTCTAAAATATCAATTCGAGGTGTTGGTTAGAACAAAACCTCCTTTTATTATGGAGAATATTCCTTCTATCGGGTGCCGTTGCTTTAATTTAGAACACAAATTAAATCAGCCTTTAGGCTCGATAGTCAGACTCGGTTTGTTTGGTTCTCAATCTGGCAACCTGCGCTTGCGTTTGTTTCGATCCAGGAATGCAATACCTAGTTCAACCACTGGGTGTCAAACTTACATACTGCACCTTCAAGCCCCGAAACACTCAAAGCAAATGTGTTAATGCGAAATATCTGCCTCTGTAAGAATAGTTGAAAAGATTATAATTTTTTGAGTTGGGTGTACTAGGTTAATAGCATTGTTTAATATTCGGAAACATTATTTTCCACATGCTGTTTATTATGGCAGCAGCTCTATTCCAAAGCTGTCTGAAACATTTGATTGAGTTTAGATGCTATTTAAGCCCCGCCTTTCTAAAAGCCCAGTGTGCTCTGATTGGTCCAGCTGAACCCGGGACACTGTGATTAGCCAATCAGCTCAAGTGTTTGTCAGAAATGTAACTTCACTTATAATATTTTTCACTTCAAACTAATATGATTACAAATGTGTTGAAAAAACTCTTCTCTCTGTTAAAGAGAAATTGGGGGGAAATATACAGAAGGGCTAATAAAATTCAGGAGGACTCTGACTTCAACTGTGCATGTATCAATGAAATATTGAGAACCAAACTGGCTATAAAGTAGCCTACACAACTGCCATGCTGGTGTTTTCAGCAGGTCTAGTGGATATACTGTAAAGATCCTACATTCATCATGGAAAATTACATCTGGCACACAAGGCCAAGGTTACAGTGACATGACGACACCTGGAAAAACATTCAGCGTCCAGAAGCAGAAACCAACAGAAGGACAGAGCAGAGTATTTGACAGGGTTCACACAGTACTCTGCTTCCTGGAGGATCACATAATATAATTAAATCAGAACGAGATGTCCAGAGAAAAGCACTGAACTATGAAGCCAAAAGTACTTAAAATACACAGAAAAAAATAGCTTTCCACTGAAGTAATAATGCATTCAATTAAACATCGGAATAGTCTCTATTTTAGTGGTCGCCACAGCAGAATGAATCGCTCACTGTTCCAGTATATGTTTTACGCAGCGGATGCCCTTCTGGCTGCAACCCAGCACTGGGAAACACTCATTCACACACACACTCATACACTACGGCCACCTTAGTTCCCCTATAGTGCATGTGTTTGGATGGGGAGAACATGCAAACTCCACACAAAAATGCCAACTGGCCCAGCCGGGACTCGAACCAGCGACCTTCTTGCTATGAGGCGACAGTGCTAACCACCATGCCACCCTTTTGCATAACAGGTCCCCTTTAAATCATGCCCTTGCAGAAAAATCCAGCTTAAACCAGCCTAGGCTGGTTGGCTGGTTTTAGCTGGTTGACCAGCCTGGTTTTAGAGGGGTTTTGGCCATTTCCAGCCTGGTCTTAGCTGGTCGGGCTGGAAAATGACCAGCCAAATCCAGCTAAAACCAGCTTTACCAGCCTGGTTTAAGCTGGATATAGCTGGTTTTGGCTGGACTCCCAGCT